TTCTCATTTGCCTATTTTTTTTTTGTTTACTCATAAAATCTTCCTTTTAAAAAAATTTTAGGCTCAAATACTACAGTTTTACCCTAGAATTCCCAGCTGCCCAGCACAGCCATGTTACAAGTTCCAATAATGGACTCCTCAGTCAAAGACAGACACATTACCTTTACATCCCAGTTCTGGCCTTACCTGTAAGTCATATGGTTTCCCAGCTCTCACTAAAAAGCTGAGCAAAATACTAGTGTGTGCAAAGTGAACATTCTCATCCAAGAATCCATGTAGCAGCAGCAAACGGTTTGGTCTGAGAAAAGCAAGAGACAAACATTTCTAGACAGCATCCCAGAACCTGCCAGTCATTTCACAGTCCACAAACATCCCTTCAAAAATACTCAACAGAAAAAAATATTTGCATTGAAGACAGTGATTTCACTATAGTAAATTACTCTGGATGGAGATGTGTCTCAAACCTATTCTTTCCCCCTCTAAATGTTCTTCCTGCATATGCACATCATGGTCAGACCTTTCATCTGTGTATCTTCTTTATTCTCAGAAGTACTTCCTAGCTTGGACAATACAATGGCTTAACACTTGCTCAGAATCACTGCTGATTTTCAGCTCTTTGGCAAGAAAGCCCATGGTCTCAGCCTGCTCTGCAGACAGCGCTGTGCTGATACAGCCTTAGAGCATGCAGAAAGCATTCTGATCAAGTAATTTTTGTCTAGCTTAATGCAGCTCTGAAGTGCTAATCATATAATTGAAGATATGTTTGTCATTTCTTTAGACATAAAAGACAGTCTTTAATTACAGCTAGGATAAAAGGGATTACACGGAATGGCCTGTAATTATGCAAATGTTCATTCAAGTCTATTAAGTTTATTAGTGTTGGGTTTTGGTCTTTTTTTTTTTTAATTATTATTTAATACTAGCATTTGTGATTCCAGAATTCAATTGCCAAGAAGAGGGAGATAAAAATGTGTCCACAGGGCTTGAACTTTCCTGGTAGGAAAAGTAGAAGGCAAGGGCCAGAACCAAACTTACTCAGAAGGAAACTTCTCAGCTTGCATGGCCACCGAACCTAGGTAATACCCCTGCTCGTTGTGATCTGGGTGGCCCATGTAACGCTCTGTGTAACCAGTGTCGTAGAAAATCCACAGCGTGACGGGTGCTCCAGCAATGGCAACCTGCAAGTTCAACAGGGCTCTCAGCATCAGGAGGGGAATGACAACACCTGACCCCCTGATCTGGGGATGTCCCTCCCTCCCACAACTCTATCCCAGTGCAATTATAATTGCCCAAAACACATTGATAAGCTTACAATCCACAGCCTGCAGTGGAAAAAGAAAAGCAATCCTCACTCTCCCTCCCACAGTTCACACATAGCACAGCTCAGCTATGACCTACATGTATTGAAAAACAGGCAGCTGCTGAAAACAAGGAAGATCCTACAGACAAATCAGAAGCAACACTAAACATATCACCTGCAAGGCCTGCTGAGGGAAGTGGATTTTGTCCAAAACGCAGAGTGCTCTGCTTTCAGGTTGCAAAACCTTTGTTCATTTGAATGTCTAACAGAAACTGGGATCGACAGCTCCCTAGGATGCAGCAAACTACCTTGCATAGCTACCACCAGCTTGCAGAGAGGCTTGTGAAAAAAAAGACCAACGAGAAAAAAAAACAAACCACCAAAAACCCCTTTGCAAGGCAGGTATTTTAATAAAAGTAAAAATATAACAATCCTTAAGGACTTGAGACAAGTAATTATTAAACCTCCCAGGAATACTCAGGTTGGACTTAAGACAAAGCAAGAGCAGCCACAAAGAACAAAACACATCCCAAGAGCACTATCCAGCTCTTACCACATCTCTACCTCTGAGACTTGCCCAACAGCAGTCTGGCCATTTACTATAGCTGTCTAAAGTCACGTAATCAGAAGAACCTCTTTGCAGTACCTCTCCCTATCCCCAGGTTGCCCTCCTGGCTGCCTCAGAACATGCTGCTACAAAGCAGCATGGGCAACGTGATCTGGGAATAGATCAGTCTGCAAAGAAACTATTCTCTCAGGGCAGGAAAGTGGGGAGGAGGAAAAGAAGGAGGTGACTTCTG